AAATACAGAAGGAAACAATTGCAAAGAAAAGTGGCGCTGCAAAAAACAACGGAGATGACAAGGTCCTCCGAGTTCTGGTTAATTCACTAGTTAATCCAATTTTCTAATACATAGTTATCGCGAAAGTAAATATTTCCCTTCCCCTGCCTTTGCAATCAACCAATATCAAACCCGCAGACTTTTTCTATTGCGGCATCCAAGAATGAGATATATCTTCCCAAATAATCAGCAAAATATTCACGTATTGCTATCATTACATAGACAAAGAATGATACGCCGTTACTGCTTCCATATTCATGTTGTTGGTGCTCCCTTGGGCGGACTTCCACAAGAACTGGCTTCACAGGCAAAATCAAGAGTGGTTGCGCCATGTGGTTGGGTCGAAGCCCCCATAGGATTGAGGCTCAGGTGGTCTCGATTTGATTCTCATTCTCATGTCCGGTGCCAGCATAGCCTGATAAAGCCAGCAATAGTCCGGACGAATAGAGCCAGCTCCTTTCCCCACACCTTCGAGGAGTAACGTAGTGGGGTGCACCATTCTGCTCAAAGCTCGACTAATGAGCATGCCCAATTTGCAAAAACAAAGGCAAAATCATCCCCACGACAGTCGCAATCACGTCTCTCATGGACTTTTGTTGCGACTTATGCGAATTCTCCCGCCCCTCACCTGCATATCCGTTGGCGTATGTCGAATCTCGTCCGGACATATCTGCCGTCGTCGGCCCCGGGTCTTGCATAGTATGCATAGCGACATATCTAGCAACAACAACAAAAAAAAAATAAAAATAAAAAGAAATAATTAGATCCCCTATTCCAACTAGTGTAACACATGTAGGAAACTTACAAAAACGTCCCCGCCGAAAACAACAACAACATTCCCGTTCTCCACTTCGTCGCCTGTTCATCGCCAACATGGCCCGACAAAACCGTATGGGCAATGATCCACGTAACCAACGCGCCCACCGGCGCCGCCAAACTGAAAATCAACAGATGCCCCCGCGCCGCGCGCGTCGACAGCCCCTTCCTCAACAAGACGCTCGTCAATCCAAAAGATGCCGGCGCTTTATGCACCATTATCGCCAGGAAAATAATAAAGTTGAGACTCGTGCTGGACGTCGATGCGCCCAGGGCGATTCCGTCCGCAGCGGAATGGATTACTAGGCCCGTTGTTGTCGCGAAGTCTTGTCTGGATGAACTGCCGCTGGTATCGAAGAGGCTTCCTCCTCCTGTGCGGGAGGGGGAGACTGTGCGGCCGAGAGCGGAGCTTAGGTTATCGAGGGATATGTGGTAGGGGCGTTGTTGGTGTTTTGTGGAGGAGGCCGCGAGGGAGGGGAGTGTGTCGACTAAATACATCAGGATGAAGCCGCCGATCAGGGCGACTCCGATCCAAGCGTGCGGGGAGCTCTGGTGGGAGTTATCTTCCCCTATTTTCCCATCCTTTTCATTTCCTTTCTGTTTCTGGTGTAGTTTCTCTCCCTCGCCTGGTTCTTCAGGGCTGCTATTCAAGGAATCTTCTTTCGGCTTATCCTCTAATTTGGGTGTATCTCTTCTGAGGTCAATAGCACTGATGGACAGACTGTGATGCCATCGCGCATCAAGAGTATGACCTCTGCCAACAACATTAATATCTCTCCTGTTGGAGTGTGTATGCAAAACAGCGGACGAGCTATAGAGTGTCTCGACTCCTTCGGGGATGATTACAATCAGCGACGTGCCCACCAAGACACCCATTCCTAGTGCGGAAATGAGACGTAGTTGCGACGAGGAGAGTGAGAAGGAGAGCGGGAGTGAGCCGACAACGAAGGAACTAATCCGCCATGGCATGCGGGAGTCTTGTTTAGAGGAATTGCGAGGAATAATTTGGCAATGATTTAAATAGGGCAAAGCAGGTTCGCTTACACGACCGCCATCACCAAGCTCAAGCTGAGCAAGGTGAAAAGTCCACTCATTATGACTTTAGGAATTACTCCGCCGTTTCTGACCAAGAGCAGATATAACAGTAGCCTCCTATCTATTCATCGTGGACTGCGGCGCCCGTGGTCATGTCAGGAACGGATTTTCAAGGCAGTGAGGGGGAACGGCGCTGTCAATAAAGGGGGTTCTGGTTCCCTAGTGTCTCCGAGTCCACTTATTGCGGGAAACTTGGCTAGATTAAAAAGGATCTGGAGAAATAGTTCAAGGATCGATTACCTTTGAAGAGAGAGCGTTTAACTCCGTGGTCGAAATATGAAGGATGCTATTTAGCAAAATATAAACTTATCCATGAAATGGTTCGAGAAGACCGCCGAGTCCGTCTGTGAAGTGTTTTGAACCGCCGTCCGTCCGCAAACATAATCACGTGTAGCCAATTCACAGGGCCAAAACGGTTCTATTCCGACGCGCCTCACGACTAGAATCATCCTCAACTCATTCTCATTCTCTCAAATCCTCACATCACAATTCCTCCTCATGGCACCTAACCGGTGCTCTTGTGAAAATGAGTGCCGAGGGCACTTGATGAGAGCCCCGGCCCTTCTCATTTAGATCACGTGGATCTCTATTATATAATCATTCTACTCTCCGCCGTAATCCGACATCTTTTTGATCACGACACTTGTTTGATCAACCCCCCACCATATTATTTGACAGATTTTCAAATGAAGCAACAACCACTGGGAATTATATATAGATATCATATAGAATATATCCTTAGGTCTTTGAGCAGCTAGGAGTTTTGTGTTTCGTACTGCCACATTTACTACAGCGTGGTGGTGCTCACTTTTTAGTTCTCAGATTTGAATCCTCAACCCTCCCCTCAGCGGGCTGATTAGGCTCCTGAGCCTGAACAATCCTAGTCTGTCCTTCCTGAGCCATTAGAATCCCTTCTTCAACTATATATGCACGTGGCTTCTCTCTCTTTTGTTTGTGTCTAGCGTTGGCAGCTCTCAGCTGCTTGACTTCCTCCGTTAAAAGAGCAACGTTGTGCATGGCCAGCTGACATCCTTTAACTAGCTGATTGAGAGCTTGATTTGTGGGGCTAGAAAGAACATCGGTACGGTGCTTAATCTTGCTGCTCTGCCGTTCCAATTGGGTCATATTGCAGGGGTCTTGGGGGTATGAGCCGATCCTGGCGGGGTAGGAGTATGGAATTGAGTATGAAGCCGTGTAAGAACCTCATCTGGATTTAATGGAATCAAGCCCGTGGCTTTGAATTCATTTCTTATAGTAGTATCCTTCATAGTCTCCTGTCTAGCTGCTGCATAGCTGATTAGAAATTAAACAGCTCACATCTAGTGGCTGCAGTAGATGAGAGGAATGAGGAGGCATATAAAGAGTTATAATATGATGATCCAGGCAGAACTTGTCAAATCCAGCTGTAGCATGACTGCCATGTCCATTCATAATCAGCAGTCTATATCTGCCAGCTGTACGAGCCTCAGTATGTCTGTTGAATTCCTCTCACAGCCATATTAAGCCAAGCTCATTTGTAGTTCAACCCTTCTCACTAAGACCAGTTGTCTAACCCTCTGGCAGTTGCTCTACCATGAAGCTTGCCCTTTAGTATGATCATAGGAGGTAGACTCCAGCCTGTAGCATTGACTGCCTCAATCACGGTTGCTCATTCTCTATTTCCTGACTATATAAGAGATGGCTTGCCTTCTTTCTCAGGTATAGTAATCACTCAGGCCGTTGTAATAACTCTCATTAGAAATCCAATCTCATCAAAGTTATACATATCCTCTTCTAGAATTCTATACTTCTTATAGTATTACCCATCAATGCAAATCATGTAGGAGCATTAAATCCTCGCATAAAGCTCACTTGTAGTTGTGCTTGCATGAGAATCTAGTCTTCAGTTTAGAGTGTTGCTTGATAAATCTTTCCACCCATCTTCCTCCCACAGTAGTTGTAGTAGCAGATTCTCACACAGAAAGTATAGATTGGCCACATCTTGTACGATCACGAATCAGAGAGGCTGTCCTCTCTCATTCATGGGGTAGAGGAATTAGCAGCAGCTCTAAGAGTTGAAATTTGATTCATTTTATAGGCTTTAATAAGCTAATGAAAGTTTAGCTTCTTGATTAGAAGCTTTTCTGCTGAGGGTGGATGCCATATCGAATAATTTAATGATGGGATGAAAGATATCAATGATCAAATAGGAGTCGTGATCAAAAAGGTGTCGGATTACGTTACGTTAGTTAACCTACGAACTAGTTAACTAACCCAAACAGTCCTAGCACCTCAAGCATTCTCACTCGATCAAACGCGACAGAGGGCGAAGAACGCGATTCCTCGAAAACTTCACATCCGACACCTCGCCGTCGCAAAGCAGACATAGCGCCAACGAGGTTGCAGTCCATTAGTAGACTTGTTTAGCCAGAATGGAGAGCCAGTCCCCTTGTAAGCAACCGTTCTAACCCTCTCTTTTCGAATATCTAAGCTATTTAAGCTGCTCCCATGTTGGGAGCTCCGTGATGAATGAGCTCACCCACTGGCTGATGCTTGATTTGCGATACCTAGGGTCTTGCGATGCAAACGATGCTATTCAGATATCCATTGTCCAACCCGGCCAAGACAAGCTAGCTACTCTCTCCACTTTCCAGCCCGAGTTCACATATCCAATTTTCGGTGAAGAGGAAACCATATTTGGCTACAAAGGATTGATCATTCGACTGCGTTTTGCTGCGCATGATCTCAGATCAAATGTGCATATCTCATATGATGAAAAATTCAAGACAGTTGCCGACGTTGCTCCCGTGGATCTATTGAAGATACTGAATCCCTGGCTGCCGAAGTGTAAGGACCACTTCGCGACCCTGGATGCCGTGAGAATTTGCATGGAGGCTGACGTTTATCGCCACTTGTAGCTTCGTTTGCGCCTCTGGAGGACTTTGAAGAATCGGTTCTAAACGATAAATTTGCGAAAGACTTCAAACCACCAGGAAAGCTTGTCCATAGCTACACAAGCAAGCAGAGGAATTATGAGATATGGGCCGGTCCGTTAACCGATCCCGAAATTCGGACTATTCTCGATCGCGTACAAATATTCGTCTCTTTCTTCATCGAAGGGGGTACCCCAATCACAACGGACGATTTTGAATGGACCCTCCAAAGGTGGACAGTATACCTCATGTAAGGATTTTTCCCTCATAACATTTCAATTGAGTTGTTAGCGTACATTTATAGAGCCATCCAGTCTAACCAGATCTCTGTTGCTGGATAGTTACGAAAAGAGGGATCCTCCCAATCCTACAGCCTCACCATACTCATTCGTAGGCTACTCAACCACATACCGATGGTATTTTTACCTCGAAGACCCCAACAACGACAATAAAATACGTCACACGGCAAAAATCTTAGACACCCCCTTCCCCTACACAGATGGAATCTCCATCTCCCAACTCCCCGCCCGCCTCCGCATTTCCCAATTCCTCATCCTCCAACCCCACCAGCAATCCGGTCACGGCTCCCAGCTCTACCACACAATCCAATCCGCCTGCCTAACTGACCCCACCCTTCACGAACTCACCGTCGAAGACCCTAACGAAGCTTTCGATTACCTCCGCGACATAAATGACTACCACACCCTCTACCCCGAATTCCTCAAACACAAGATATCCATAAACCCAAACCCGTACCAACCAGACGACCAGGCACAACAGGGAGCTCCACGCCGCCGTCGGCCCCGCCTTATGCCTACCTCCGCCCTCCTCCCAACAACCACTCTCCGCGACCTGCGAATCCGCTACAAGATCGCCCCCGTGCAATTCTCACATATAGTCGAAATGTACCTCCTAAGCCAAATCCCAGCAGACCATCGCGGCGCCAGCAATACGAACATAGCGCGCCTGCTTGTGCAGAAATGGCGCGCACCCAACGAGCATGATAGGCGGTATTACTGGTGGCGCATGCTGGTTAAGCAGCGGCTGTATAAGCGGCATCGTGACTTGTTGATTCAGCTGGATCGCGACGAAAGATTGCAGAAACTGGAGGAGACGTTGGGAAATGTGGAGGAGGGGTATGATGGGTTGCTTAAGGCGTTTGGGGTTAAGAGGGGTGGTGGGCAGAGGGGTGGAAAAGAAGATGGAGATAAGGGTGAGGGGGAGAGGGATGGGGAAGGGGAAGGGGAAGGAGAGAATGGTGATGCAGAAGGGAGCGGGGATTGGGAGAGGGGGAAGAGGAAATTCACTGTTCTCGAAGATGAGGATGAAGAGGGAGAAGATGGTGGAGGGGAAGGGAAAGACGGGGAGAATGGGGCGACAGATGGAGAGGACATGCCTTCCGCGAAGAAATTGAAGACTTGAGCCTCCGCGTCAAATTTGTTTTGCTTTGGCTTCGTTTCTTCTAGTTCTCCACATTTCCATGTTTTTCATTCATCGATCAGGCAGGGTGTGTGTGTTGTGTTTTCAGGAACTGCATCTTTGCCATTTTTGATCCCCTTTTTCTGTCTTCTGTTTTGATACATACCGTCAGCTAGGCTAGGGACGCAAAATCTTTTTTTTTCTGTACCAATATCACGATGTGACCGTAGTCAGTTTCCTTTGAGGGGATATATTGTTGTTAATTCTGTTTGTGTTTACCTAAGTTTGGGAGATAATATTTCTCTGATATTATCGTTTTTCTATTTTATATATCCCATTATGGCGGAAATTCCATGGTGTGAATAACCAAAGATATCCACCTGGCTGCTGTTTGACAAGAGCTTTCATAGCTTGAAGCAGGTATCGAGGCAGAGGGTGGATATAGGGGAAGCTAACGAAAAGAAACTCTGGATGAAGACCATCCACTTTAGCAAATCATTCGGCGGAACGTGAATACACGACGATTACAAAGGATCAGTTCCC